AACGTTTTTATACACTTTACAAAACATGATTAACGTCTCGTCCCATACTATTTTGTAGCGATTTGCCGGTCATTGAAATCGGCAGAATTTTACATTCCAATAATATCCATCCCTATTATTATAATGTATTCGCCCAAATCTCCCACAGTCCTCTTCAAAATCTTGCATTTTCGCCAGAATCGGCGAAACTGGACTACACAGCCAAATTATTACATGGATTAAAATCGTGTCAATCGCGGCTATGGAAACGATACCGATCAAAAATGTAGGGAAGGCTTGTCGGAAGATTTTGAAAATTAATCTTCGCCGTTCAACGCACCCTTCCCAGTGGTGTGCGTGCGTCGGCAAAGGTGACCCGCTGGTCCCGCCTCGCAATTCGCTCAAACTTCTCGGCGTGGATGTCGGATGTCGACGGATTAATTTGGTATTTTTTTTAAACCAAGGACTATTTGAACATTTATATCTATGTCCCTCCAAAGTTAATTGAAAACAACACGTAACTTGGCGATATTGTTTCCCTGTTAGTAATAAAATTGACGCGGAAGAAGTTCGTGGACGAAAGGTAGGCTAGATTTATTTCGATTACACTGACTGACCGTTACGTTACTGACTTTAATAATAAAAGCTCGATGTACCAGCGAAATTTATGCTGCCAAATTTGCCCCTCAACATGCAAAACATGGGTTGAAAATTCAATTATTTTTCCGGGGGGGACATGCCCCCCCCCCGCCCAAAAAGTCGGGCCTACTCGGGCTCTAGTGGCGCCTGCGGCGCGATCGTTCGCGCCTTCGGCGCATCAAGCGGGGAAAATTTTCAATCAAAATCTCGTCCTCCCCATACGAAATTTCACTCTCCATGATTCACGCCGGCGGGGGGAGGGCCTAGGAAAAATTTTTTGAGCCGGGGGGAGGGCCTAGGAAAAATTTTTTTGACCTGGGGGAGGGCCTAGGAAAATTTTTTTACGCTACCCCCGGACGACCGGCCCTCCCCCCCCGGTAAATATCGTACAGTCCCTTAGGCCGCACCAAGTTAATCAAGTTAATCAACTGTTACTTCTCGGCCTCGCCTGCTTAATTTTTTCTGATTTGCAGAAAAAAAAGGTCCAGGTTCTGAATCAGCTCCAAAATCACTACATTTGGGCCCAAACAGCTCCTTGTCTTCCATTTTTTTTACATTATTTACATCTATCAATGCACTGGTTTGAAAAAATTCATTGTTAGAATTATTAATAATGACTTCATGGCTCCTATGATAGCTATCGGGACTAATATCAAATGCCTTAGCCTGTTTTTATCTCACAAAATTTCACTCACAGATCGGCCTGAACCATTAAGTCTCCAATCTTCTTCACTGCTCCAAGATAGTCTTCCTTTGTTCTGTGAGGAGGAATCGATATAAAAAATTTAATATAAGTATTGTGGTAATCATGCAGGTACACCAGGAGCTGTATCCCATGTATAAAGTACAGTACGGTCCAAAAAGGGTTTGCTTGTTCTAATAACCGACTACCTTTAAGATTATGGCCTGATAACCAATGGGCAATAGGGCCTTCTGATAGGTTCTTGCTATATGGAAATAGTATATGATATATTATGTATGAAGGCCTGTTAAATATTTCGAACCCTGAAGTATATCAATTATTATGTTTACCGAAGGAAAACATTGTTTTTGCTCCATTTCTTCTTCCTCTTCTTCAGAATCTGTTCCAAACACTAACCTCTGACCTGTCACCATAGTAACTGGTGTTGGCTTACATACAATGTTGCATATAGTAGGCATTTAGGCATATACATGTACATGTATGTGAATGTGTTTGAGTAAGAATTAACAGAGCAGACTATATCCGAAGGTAAACATGGTGCATTTGCTTTGCAAATATTACTTTAAAATTTCTAGTTAATAGATGTACTTACTTGTCAGACATCCCTCCACCAGAGAAAGCACACTGAAGGATGATCTCCATGGTACAAAGACTGGCCTGCTGGAACATCTCAACACTTTGGTCTTTCCCGTCATATTCTGCAAGCTTTTCCTACATCGATGTACACACAAGTGAGAGACCACTAGTATTTAGAAATTGTATAATTTTCAAATGCCACGAGATACCTGACCAAAACAAATCAATATATTGGTATCGTTTATCAAAAAACTAATTCCACAAGTCACATATATCCACCACCCTGAAAAAAATGAAAACTTGCAAGGTATAATGTTTACAATATCATCACATAGTCCAGCCAAGTAAAAATTATACTGCAGCTGTTTATTCTTACTTAAACACATTCATGTACATGTACATGTAACATTACAAGTAAATGGTGAGCAGACTTCCTCCAACTCTATTCTGCAACTTGCAACTGTACTTCATCACAGGGTGTCACTACAACACCAGTTACCATGGTGACAGACATCTGGTCCAGGTCATTGACCTTACGTGTTTGAAGAGGATTAGAAACAGAGCACAACAATTTGTTTTCCTTCGGAGGGGTAATATAAACACACGATCATCTCAACTGTACTACTACATCACGAGGGTGTCCCTACAACACCTGTTACCATGGAGACAGACATCTGGTCCAGGTCATTGACCTTACGTGTTTGAAGAGGATTAGAAACAGAGCAAAACAATATGCTTTCCTTCAGGGGGTAATATAAACTCACGATCATCTCAACTGTACTACATCACAGGGTGTCCCTACAACAACAGTTACCATGGTGACAGACATCTGGTCCAGGTCATTGACCTTATGTGTTTGAAGAAGATTAGAAACAGACCAAAATGATATGTTTTCCTTCAGAGGGGTAATATAAACTCACTATCATCTCAACTGTACTTCATCACAGGGTGTCCCTACAACAACAGTTACCATGGTGACAGACATCTGGTCCAGGTCATTGACCTTATGTGTTTGAAGAAGATTAGAAACAGAGCACAACAATATGTTTTATTATGAGGGGAAATAATAAAACTCACGATCATCTCTTCAGCAGCCATGTTGTAGACGCTGATGTACTGTTTGAGAATGTCGAAATGGAACGCGGGAGTCAGAAGACGTCGCTGGGCCTTCCAGATGGGACCATTACTGATGACCAGGCCGTTACCTAGCAACAACAATAACAACGACAGACATCATTCCCAGACCTGGAAAGAATAATCCAGTTAAGATTGTTTCAATTAAACTATGATGACACATCAAAAGTACTTTTGTATACGAAACATTGTCTTTACTAAAGAAAATTTAGGATTAAAAGAATTCTAATCTTGTAAGTTAGAACCTCCTCTAGAAATATTTCTTTACTGAAGAAAAATTAAGATTTAAAGAAGCCTATTCTAGAAAAATTATTCTCCTCTTAAGAAAAATGAGAAAATTGTTCATGGTGCAAGAAAGTAGCTATAAAGAAAGTTAATTTTTTTCTTATTTTTTTTTTCTTAGGCCATGTTGATTTGATTATATGGATGACATCCTCTGGGAACCCCAAAACTGATGCGCGCGTGCGAATAAAAAAAAAGTTTTGCAAAAAAAAAAAAGTTGCTTTCACTATGAAATCTACGTGGTCATGAAGGTTGAACAAATGGCACATAATATGTTATGGCGAATAATCTACTCTTCGAATTCATTTCTTTACATTTTTGTCTTTTTTCCTTTGATTTTGGCATTCTACGACATTGGTATCGTTTCTAAATGTTTTCCTTGCAACTTATGGTATATTTTTGCTCATTTAGCAAATGTTTTTGCACGATTTACAGTATGGTTGAAAACTTTTCTTTTTTTTTGAAACGGCCGAAAATTCATGCGCGCGCGGATGTCATCCATATAATCAAATCAACATGGCCTTATCATTCTCCCCCAAAGAAAAATTTTATTCCCAGAAGAAAATAAGAAAAACAAGAAAAAGCATTTTTGGTAGTATACGAGATAATCTACAATAGTACAAACACAAATTATGATTTCATGTTACAAATTGTGATATCAATACACAGGGTTTAAACAATGAGGTTTTCAATCGGATTGAAATGTCTTCAGTTTGACAGTTTTAACAGTAACAGTTTGACAGTAAGTTAGATATTGTCAGAAGAAATATTGTGTTTCTTACCCAGCCAGGGTCTCAGATGATCATAATCCACAGACTTCTTGGCTAAAAAATGATGCACAAAAGAGATCTTGAGGATATGATTATGATGAATACTTTTTAATCATTCAAAATAATAAATAACGAACAATTTAATCACCATATTTAAAAATTGATTGACCTAAATGGTATTGTAGGTACTACATGTAACTTGTTTAAAGTTAGAACTTTTGGTCCAACACAAAAAATTCTCAGTAGACTGACCCTGTGAAGCTTGTCACGTGGCTATGTAACTTGTTTGTTTTTTCCAATCAGAACAAAAACTATCAAGACATTAAATTGGTGTCGCCAAAAGATCACAGCACATTGGCACAACTTCTGTGCCTGCAAAAAACCTCAACTATATTGTGTAATGTGCATAGCACTTCGAGAGGACTTATTCTACGATGTATTTAAGGATGACATCCCGTCTAAAGTTTTCAAATGTTGTTTCAGGAAAGACATCGTCTGCAACAGGCAAAATTCTGATACAACATTGACCAAACGTCCAACGAAAATCATGAAAAATCCGATTTTTGCACAGGCGTAACTGTAACTGTAAGTAACTGCTGATGTACCAAAGTACAATGCCCATAGCCAGGGGGGCCCCAAGGCTCAAAGGTCCACTTTTTGGTCCACTTTATATCTGAAGGTGCAAGATTTTTCTTTAAAACTGGACTGATTCATGTCACCAGAGAGGCTGGAATCATAGGGAAACTGCTCACTTTGTAATTGAAAAAAGTTATCTCTGATATTTTCTTTAAAATTCTCTAAAAAATGCAGGAAATGCCATTTCAGAAGGTTCATTTTTCAAAATTTCCTGCGGGAGCATGCCCCCGGACCCCCCTAGGAACCTCGCGCCTTTGGCACTCGCCTCGCGCCTACAGCACTCTCTGGTCCCTCAAGCAATCGGGAACCCCCCCCCCTTCAAAATCCTGGCTACGGGCATGAGGTATACTTACTGGGAGCCTTCAGAAGCTGTTTGATTGGTGCAGGATGAGTGAGAGTGATCAGGGGCATGTACCCAGGCCACCACAGTGTGTGAGCACGAGGGTGTTTCTCCACTACGTCTCTTGTCATGGCCAGGTATTCCTCACCAAATTCATTACCAGCCTGCGAAAAATGCAAAATTCTCATAAGTGCTGTAGTCATTTATGAGACCATAAAAATATCTTTATCTGTATAGCCAGTATAACTGCCCTTTGGCAAAATACACCAGCTTCAAAGGCTCGCAGTGTGGTGGCAGCTGGCTATATTACACCGAACAACCTGTTACATCTAACCTTTGAACATCTAACTCTTAACATTGTTTAAGCTTAATGATAATGCCCCTGATGTACTTGTACTTGGTGAGAGCAAGCTTCTGCAATTATAGTTCTAAGGAAAGACTGAGTTTTTGAACACCTCAATCCATGGTTCTATATAACTACTAGTACTTGAAGACATGACACTTACTATAATGTGATATAATGGAATCAATACACCCAATTACACTTCATGAAAAATTTCTAGACATTATGCTTCAAACAGTGAATTAAATGGCTACGCCTTGTGGAAAAAGGATGCAGACTCTTAATTTTCTTATGGAGGACCCACCAAATGCAGGTTACAATACAGCCAGTGGAAGGGCGGGCAGGGAAACTTCAGTCCAGTACGGATGTCCCGAATGTACTTCTTCAGGAACTTCAGGACCACGAACACGAGATACGCGGCGACTGGAACCGACACTCCGACCGCAACCTCCCATAGACTGACTCCTGTCTTCATGGTGTTCAGCTTTTCCCTGTGTGCGTGGGGAAAGAAATCACAAACTCATTCAACAAGTTCCTATCTGCTAACAATTATGTTCCCATCAAGCCACACCAATTTAATTTCTTGGTTAACGGATTCGCCCGCTTCATTTTTTTCTGATTTGCAAAAAAAAAATTCAGAATCAACTGCAAAATGCTCATATTTTGCCCTGAACAGTTGAAAACAGTCGTTTTCTTCCTAGTTGTTACAGTTATTCCATCTTCTAATGCAGTGGTATCGTTAAAAGTTCAAAATTCATTGTTTAAATTTTGAACCAGCCTGGTGTGTTGACTTCATGGCTGCTATCACACCATTTTGGGCCATAATGGGATGCCTAGGCCTGTTTTTTGTTTTTTTTATCGCCCGCCCGCTCCATTGTTTTTCTAGAAAAATCCGTTAATGAAGAAACTAAATTGGTGTGGCCTTAATGACTATGATGCAAATGTGTTGATAACATGTACATTACAATATTGTACATTGCAATTTTGCGGTCTGAGGAAAATGGACATTTGTGGTGGCTGCAGGTGCAGCAAAAAGAAAGTCGTCAAATTATTTTTTCCTGGTAATGCTACTTACAGAAGTGACCAGGAAAACCATGAAGAATACTGCAAAAAATTGTGACATACAGCATGCCCGTAGCCAGGGGGTTCAGGGAGGTTCGAGGCTTTCAGACGGACCCCCCCCCCCCCCCACCACACACAAGGCTCAAAGGTCCACTGGACGAATATTCAGATTCCAGACGTTTAATACATAGGTCAGCAAGTCCAGACCCCGTGTGCTTAGCGACATTAGGGAGCGGGCGAATACTACGGAGGATGGCACCCAGGCTAACAAATTATAAGAAATTCAAATAGCTGATGCTTGCTGATCCCAGAAAAGTGACCTTTGGTAAGCTTAAATCTCGGGTCCTGGTAACCACGCCATGTCCAGTCAGGACCGGACCGTTTTTTCCATCAACCCAATTGAACTGGTTCGACAGCCTGACACCACAATTTTGACACAACTCAGTCAGTGACTTCAGGAAACCAAAAATCATTAAGAAATTCTTTGCTTCTTGTGTCATCTTGATCAAAAGACACAATCGAAATATAAAACCGCCTCTGCAGCGATATTTTTGCTTAGTATTAAACTTGGGACTGTACGGTATGTATCGAGGGGGAGGGGCGGTTGTCCGGGGGTTCGGCTTAAAGTGTTTTCCTATGTTCCCTCAGGTCAAATAAAATTCCTAGGCCCTCCCCCTCAAAATCATGTGTTTTCGTTGGCCCTGCCGCGGCTCAAAAAATATCCTTTCTTTCCCCCTAAGGCCCTCCCCCGACTCAAATTTATGTTTTCTCTTGTACTAGTTACAGACCCTCCACCAGCCCAAAAATTATTCCTAATCCTAGGCCCTCTCCCGTGCCTCTTCCGTAATAAACGGAACGTTTAGCGTCACAAAGTATGAAAACATAAGTCTTACTTACTTACAAGATCCCGATGTTAAAGTTGAGGAGACGCCCTGTGCCTCAGAGACGCTCAAACGTGTGACTGCGAGTGTTCCAAGTCACTTCAAGAAGCTAGACACAAGTCCTTTTATATTTTTCTCTCCCGCAACGTCCGGGAGGTCGTTGAACCTTGACCCAGTCGACGGACAATAGGCAAAAGTCACGCGACGTCTTAGTGCGTCGTTGACATGACATGTGTACACAAGCACACGGTTTCTTTGTAAATTTGCATGGTCACATGCATGGCATGCTGGCATTAACTGTTATATCTTACCATGCACTGCAGGGCTCGAAATACAGGGGTGCATGTGCACCTTAGTGCACCCAAATTTGGAGCTGTGCACCCAATTTTTTTCTGTGGGTGCATTACCAGTGCACCCAAACATTTTCGTAGGTTTACGTATTTTAAGTATACTAGCTGCTACACAGCATTCTTGTGTTAAAAAACATAAAAACAAAAAAACATAAAAAACACTAGAGTTCGATGATCTCATACCTCCATGACATGTGTAACAGTATTACTTTCATAAATCTTACGCATGGTGATGACCACCTGTAATTGGCTTACATTTTTCACCGCATATATTCAAATTATATGAGGCCATTTGCATATATTGTATCAATTGATCATACTCTCCACCAAATGACAGGGTTATCTTAAGAAATAAGGCTATTCTAGCGTTTCCTCATAAATTATGCAAATGAGGTCCTGATTGAAATAAATTATGTTTAGTGATGTTCACCTTCACTGAACTTCCAATTATGGCAAGTATTAAATTCCCAGCAGTTACAACCATAAAATTGTACCAATTTGCCATTTATTATGCAAATTAGGTCTTCCTTTACATA